GGGCGACACTGTGCCCCCCCCCCCGTTGCCGCTGGGCTAAATTTGAACGAATAATCGGCTCAGGTCCTCAAGAATGAAGGCAGCCTGACAAGTGCATAGAACCGGAAGCCAAGATGAAAACAAACCAGAAAAAAATTCCTACATATAAAAATAACTCACATCCCGTTCGCTAACTTTCTTTAATGACCTGTCTAGTACACCTCGGATAAGTTTTGCTAACTGCGGAAGCCCGTTGAGAGCATGATGTTCCGCAAATACCTGGCCATTTGAGAACATCTCATATCTGGAATCAGACATATGTAACATGGCGAATTATAACCGGGCCATTGGAGCGCAAGTCTTCTATGGCGAGATGCTTACACAAAACTAGTCTGTCCAGTCTGGTGCTCCAGCAGTCGAAAATAGGGCGAAAATATTCGCCTTTACAATCATTATCGATGAAGATAAGCCGACGCGTATGTCTTGAATTCGGTTTTGTGGTCTTACATTGATGAGTTACGTTAGGAAAGTGTTAGCGTTCAACATCTCGGGCACTATAGGGGAGCGTTCACATTTCGCGAGTGTAGTTCAGCGCATTCAAGGGCGGAGAAAAAGACACTGGAAATGGTTTTTGGCATCGGGACCCAAATGATTCAATGTGACATCACTGCGGCGTGTCGAGTCAGTTAGCGAATACTCTGCTTTTTTCCACGCGATACCGCCGCCCAGGGTGTGTTCAGCTACAGGAGACGGGCAAGAGAATCGTAATTTGCCGCTCCGCCGCGCGCGGCGATGGGCGCGGCGTTTTCTTAACTCGTGTTAACCTGTCGATTGGAGCACCGGACTTCATGTAGACCCCATCGTAGACATTCATGACTATTTTCGGTTGAATTGCCTGTTGTCGCCATCTTCTACCTGGAACCATCGTCATTTGGGGACGTCGCACGCGACGCCCACAGCGCGGCGAATTAAGATTCTCTTGTCACAGTCCCTTCAACTATGCGTGCAGTTCGCAGTTCGAGCGACTACTCCGGGGACACTCCACCGCTAACGCATTGAAATAAAGCATTTTTTAGCCATTTGTTCAATGGTGAGGCTGAGCAAAGGTTACCCGGTCGGATATGAACTTTAGTGAAAGAGAAAAGATACATGGCCAAGGAAGAGGGCTAAGCTGGCTAGGTGGGGGAGGGGGAGAGATTTCGCCAGCGCCTCCGTATCCCTTCTTCTAAGCAAGGCTTAGGCTTAGAGGATACTATGTCTTCTTTAATGACTATTCCTTGGCGACTATGGTCGTCTGTACTCTGAGTCTGGGCATTGTTGGAAAAGGGATACAGAGGTACGGCCGTTTGGTATTCCCCAATCACGTCAGCGCTAAAGTTGAGACAGGCGCGATTCAATTAGAAGTTATAGAGGTCCAATGATACGCGGGGAAGTGCCGTCGTATTCGATCGACTTGAGTGACTGGTCGCTCGTGGGCGAAGTATAAACACTGTTACGTGGAATCACAGGAAGAACCAAATGCACCATTTTGAGTACGGCTAAGCCGGGTGACGTGACAATCTTGTATTTTACAGTGACTATCTTTTGTCGTGATCGAGCGCAGATGGAGAAAACACGGCGAATCATTGGGCCAAGAACGGTGATGAAAACGTCTATGAACAGTGAACGGACGGCATTGGCATTATACGGCCATTATATGAGCTAGAAGGATTGAGTTGAAAGAAGACGACAAGGGCCCCATAAAAGCCAACAATCAAGAAAACAAAATCGTAAAAGGACTGAAATTTTGAAAAGAATCCAACCGGTGTCTGCAATAATGGGAGTGCGACACGCAAAATTGCGTACAGGACATCCACCGGTCAAAAGATGACAGTGACGTCGTTTGATGGGTTCAGTGAACCATCTGAATTTGCTGCGTGAGGAGCACCTTGAGCTACTTAACAAGTATGGAGATCTCCAACAGAAATACGCTGCTCTCCAGAGCAAAGTTGATCCGGATCAAGTCCCGGATAGCTCCACTTTGGCTGGACAACTGTGTGCTACGATGAAAAACCTATACGAGAACCATGCATTCAGGTTAGTATTCGCGATTTTTCGATAAAAAATTCGTGGTTTCTTCACTCATGATGGAGTCCAAAAGGCAGCTTTATATAGTGTTGGGATTGTTAACGTAACATTTAGCCATGAATTTTCTCTCCACATTAATCAGTCGTTCTGATTTTGTAAATCAATGTTCCGCTTTGAAACTTGGTGCCTCCATAGCAAAAATATCCATATTTGCTTCGAGTCAAAAGGAGGCTCTATTTCAGCATCGACATGAAAATGTTCTCTTTTCAGTGATATCGTCATCCGTGTAGGTGGTCGTGAGCTCAAATGTCACAAGTTTCTGCTAGTAGCTAGAAGCAATCACTGGAACGATCTCGAATCTACGGACTTCATTGAAATTCCAGGTAATAGTCAATGGTGGTCTTCTTTTACTTTTGAGAGGGCTGTCGCCGTTCGTGGCGGCAGTGGTTATACCTAATTGGGGTGCTCGTTCTTGACATCTTATAACCAGGGCATTCCTGCCGCTGGGAAAAATATTTTGAAAATACGACCCCGTCAAAGTCCACCCTCTGGTAGGATCCTCCCCAAATCAGTGAAACGGGATAATCGATTACCGACTTTTCCCACCTCTCTGAGTTCCGACCACCTTTTTTCGCAAACTTCCAGATTTCGCTGAAATTTTACCGTCGAGCGGGAGAGGGTGAAGCATTGCACATTAGTGAGTATGGTTGTGGGGAGTTTTGGAATGACACGAGAATTTTTGCTTTTTCTCCTCTCGGTGTATTATTGCTGCCTCTCAAATGTGGAGTGCTTTTTTCGGGTGCGTGCACTTAGATACCCGGGTGGGCGTGGCCACAGGGGCAAGGCTTC